TTTACAATTTAGCAAAAAAAAAAAGAATTTTTCCTCCTACAACTTAGAGATAAAAAGTTTTCTACTGGAAAAAAAAACACTTGACTAAAATAAAAATGATGGTGGATCCAGTGTATTTTAAAAGAAATATTATTTTTTTCTTTTTTACATACCAATCACAGCCATATGTGTGTGTTGAGAAAATTCCGAAATATTTCTATGAGACGTCAAAACTCAAAAGACCCTTCTATCACTGACACAACATGGATTTCTGGTCAATATTTTTTAAGGAAATAATTGAACATATCATATTTTAAATTAATTTGAAGATAAACCACTGGCTAGGGAAGGCATGGCATTTGGCCATGACTAGTACAAATTAATAATTTAAGTAGGTTTCTACTTTCTAGTGGTGTTTAATGTTCACTTGATAAAGCTATGATCTTTTGTAAAAACAAGAAAGAATGACAAAAATATATATACCAAATAATCAAAGTTAGTTATATGAAACACTTACTTTTTAGTGAAGTTATTGATATGTGAAAATGGAAACATAAAATAAGAAAATAAGATTAAACACAATGAAGAAGAAAAGAGGCAAAACCTGGAAAGTGAGAGAAGTGAGAGGTTGGCCTCGACGTAGAGAGTACTTAGCATTAGGGAGAGAAGCATGAAGCAAACATGCCAACGATTCGAACATGTTAAGACTCAGTGAGTCACCAACTAACATTATCTTCTTCCCTCTCATTCTTCTCATAAGATTCACCCCATCAAACCTGTAATTAAATAATTAAACTTCCCAATTATATATTTTGTTACTTTCTTTCTCATATGAGAAAAAAAAACATTAATTGTGTTTCTTTTGACATATACTTACCACCCTAAGCCTAGCAAAAATAAACGTTTAGCGACACAAACGTATAAACTCACTATGTTTACCATCTTAAACTCTTTTGCTAATTGTAAATGCAAACACCAAATACAAATGTATATTTGCAAACGCAAAATTAGTGTTTGGAACAATCAAAGCCTTAATAATTCTTCTAGCTAGTTAAAGCTTTAGTGGTTAAATACATGTGCAAGTACCTTGGGAGAGAACAAGAGAAAGGTTGCCATCGGAAGTGTTGATAGTTTGTATCGGGTCGACCAGCTTTCTGGCAATTGAATTCAGAGTCGATGAAGGGACAAGAAAAAGGACTATAGAGAGGATATGAAGAATCATAGACCCATTTGCCTTTAAACCAATTACATGATCTCTCTTCTCCTAAAAAGCTTGTGTTGTTTTGTCCCAAGAAATGTTCTTGAGATTGTGCTAATGAAGAAAAGAGTATGAGAAACAGAGAGGCTAAGTTGAATTTGAAACAGAGTCCCATTTTCTTTGGGAGTCGCCAAGAAAGAATGATCAACTTATTCTTCAAGCCTCGAGCTTTTTATAGATAACTAAAAAAGTCTTTATATCTACGGTGAGTTTTCTTGTTCCATTTTTTTGTACATAAACATATTTATTTTCGTGGACAATCATTAGACTCTTAAGATATACTTTAAGAGCTAACAAAGGTGTTTCGAAATCACATCGAACCGAAATAGAGTAAATGAAATTGAACTAAACCTTTTTATAAATCAAATAGTTCATACATTAGAAATATCTTTTTATAATCAACCATTTTTGATGTATTATTAACCTAAAATAGGCTTCTTGTAATACATGATATATACATTAATGTATATGGAACTTTATTATTATTCCGTCCGTCCCACACTTGTTCCATCCCGAACTTTACTGTCTCGTTCAAATTAGTTTAAGTTTGAGAGATCCATTTGTTTCACATCAATCATGTTATGTTTCTAATTATCACAATCGTATTTTAATCTTTTTTAACGGTTTTCGTTGATCTGCGCAGCCATTGGTTTAACATGCATGTTGTAATCTTTATAAGATAATGAAATGACAAGGATGATGTATATAAATAGAAGCAATTTGCACATGTTATGATTGTTATTAGGGTGGCTTGCTTTTTTCCAACTCGACCACCACTCACTCCCAAAACTTATCTCTCTTTTTCACATTTTATTTCTTTATACACCTAACAATGCTTTTTATCTAATGACTCTAATTTAGGTAATTCATTGAATATAGTTGTTTCAATTTTTGACTACTTTTATACAAAGATAAAGGAACAAAACAAAAACTATTTATGTAAGCATCAAATTTGTACTCATTTGGCTCATCTTCTATAATTCAAATTGTTAATGATTATACCTTCATTAGCAAGCTGTGAAGTGGTTAAAAAAAAAAGAAGAAAATTCCAATAGCAATTATTCATTCATCAACAAATTCAATAATTACTTCAACCGTGGAGTTCTTGATTATCATAAAGATTATGTCTCTTTCCAACCC